CTCCCCCCCCAAACACTCCACGTAGGCACTGTTTTAATCCAAGACAAGAATCCAAGTTACGGGCGAAGCCGGGTAGTAAAGCTAGTCTATCTGTATATATAAAATCGTGCATGTCTGTCTGTCTGTGTGTGTGTGGATTTCGGACCATACGCACTTTCATTGGACGGCGGTTGCCCCTGGCAACGGCTAGCGACGCCTTCGCCGCTTTCATTGGACCTGGCAACGGCTAGCGACGCCTTCGCCAAGGGCTGCAGTTTCATTGGACGGCGGTTGCCCCTGCTAACGGCTAGCCACGCCTTCGCCACTTTCATAGGCTCCGTAAATAATTAAATAATAGCCATTACACAGTATTGTTGGAGCGCTGAGGGGGGGGGGGGGAAGGCATGCCACCCGTACCCTGCCTCTGCCGGCTGGACAATTTTGGCGAGGCCGCAGGCTCTGCACGCTACTAGGCCTCGACACCCACCACGCCACTCTGAGGTAAATTCATCAAAGTTTTTCCTACTCTTCACTCCACCCCCACCACAATGTGTGCAATTTATATTACTTTAAAACCCAACGCGCCAACAATCGATTACTTAAATGTTCACTGTACAAATAGTCATTAAGCTGGGTCAGCGTACTGCCAGTCTATCATGTAGACTGTAGCCTGCTTATTAAACTCGGTGAGCGTACTGCCACTCTATCATGTACACTCTAGCCTGCTTATGAAGCTGAGTGCGTGTACTGCCAGTCTATAATGTGGACTGTAGCCTGGTTATTATAATCGATTCTTTATATGTTCTTTGTACAAATAGTCATTAAGCTGGTTGAGCGACCCCAGTTCCATTCCAACTCACGCCCACCACCGCTGACGATTATTTGAAACGGACCTGGGCCTCCCCTAGGTCGACTCAGCCTCAAACGCGTAACTGCTGTCGTGTGTGAACATCGTCACTGGGGAGACAAAGGCGGCCGGCCATCGTGGATCCAAGTCCCGGGCGAAGCCGGGTCATGTGTATGTGTGTATGTGTTTATGTGTATGTCTGTGTGTCTCTATGTATGTGTGTATGTATGTGTGTGTATGTGTTTGTGTGTATGTGTGTGTGTATGCATGTCGGTTTTTTTGTATGTCTTTATGTGTATGTCTGCGTGTCTGTATGTATGTGTGTATGTACGTGTGTGCATGTGTTTGTGTGCATGTATGTGTGTGTGTATGTATGTGTGTGTATGTGTTTCTGTGTATGTATGCGTGTGTATGTATGTGTGTTATGTGTGTGTCTGTGTGTCTGCATGTATGTGTGTGTGTATTGTGTATGTGTTTGTGTGTATGTATGTGTGTGTTTGTGTGTATGTGTTTGTCTCTGTGTATGTATGTGTGTATGTATGTGTGTGTATTTGTTTGTGTGTATGTCTGTGTGTGTATGTATGTGGGTTTTTGTATGTGTTTATGTCTATGTCTGTGTGTCTGTATGTATGTGTGTATGTACGTGTGTGTATGTGTTTGTGTGTATGTATGTGTGTGTATGTATGTGTGTGTATGTGTTTCTGTGTATGTATGTGTATGTATGTGTGTTATGTGTGTCTCTGTGTGTCTGCATGTATGTCTGTGTGTATTGTGTATGTGTTTGTGTGTATGTATGTGTTTGTGTGTATGTGTATGTCTGTGTGTATGTATGTGTGTGTATGTGTGTGTATGTGTGTGTATGTATGTGTGTGTATGTGTTTGTATGTGTTTGTGTGTTTACGCTCGCATTACACAAATGTCTTGCAGGTCTAAGGCGTTCCTCGCGCAGCATTGCCGCTTTATTATTGCAGTCGTTTACTGCCGTGCGCACCCTGAAAGTCGTGTGTGTCTGCAGCAAGCGCGTGTATGTGTACCTATGGACGCGCGCGCGTGTGTTGTGTAGGGGGAACGGTAGTGTAGTGCTTAGCGTGCTGTCTGTGTCTGTGTGTGTGTGTCTGTGTGTGTGTCTGTGTGTGGTGTGTGGGGAGCGGTAGTGTAGTGCTTAGCGTGCTGTCTGTGTGTCTGTGTGTGTGTTTGTCTGTCTGTGTCTGTCTGTGTGTGTCTGCGTGTGTCTGTGTGTGTGTCTGTGTGTGTGTCTGTGCGTGTGTGGTGTGTGAGGAGCGGTGGGTGTAGTGCTTAACGCTACGCTGCGCTACCAACCCGGCGAACCGAGTTCGATTCCCGCGCACGGCCACCACCGGTGACGATTATTTGAACCTCCCCTAGGTCGACTCAGCCTCAAACGAGTAACTGGTGTGGCGTATTAACATCGGCACTGGGGAGACAAAGGCGGCCGGGCGTGGTGGATCCAAGTCCCGGGCGAAGCCGGGTCATGTGTATGTGTGTATATGTTTGTGTATGTCTGTGTGTCTGTATGCATGTGTGTATGTATGTGTGTGTATGTGTTTGTGTGTATGTGTGTGTGTATGTGGGTTTTTTGTATGTGTTTATGTGTATGTCTGCGTGTCTGTATGTATGTGTGTATGTACGTCTGTGGATGTGTTTATGTGTATGTATGTGTGTGTCTATGTATTGTGTGTATGTGTTTCTGTGTATGTATGTGTGTTATGTGTCTGTCTGTGTGTCTGCATGTATGTGTGTGTGTATTGTCTATGTTTTTGTGTGTATGTATGTGTGTGTTTGTGTGTATGTGTATGTCTGTGTGTATGTATGTGTGTGTATGTGTGTGTATGTGTTTGTGTGTATGTGTGTGTATGTATGTGTGTGTATGTGTTTGTGTTTGTGTGTTTACGCTCGCATTACACAAATGTGTTGCAGGTCTAAGGCGTTCCTTGCGCAGCATTGCCGTTTTCTTTTTTCAGTCGTTTACTGCCGTACGCACCCTGACAGTCGTGTGTGTCTGCAGCAAGCACGTGTATGTGTACCTATGGACGCGCGCGCGTGTGTTGTGTAGGGGGAACGGTAGTGTAGTGCTTAGCGTGCTGTCTGTGTGTGTGTCTGTGTGTGTGTGTCTGTGTGTGTGTGTCTGTGTGTGTGCGTGTGTGGTGTGTGGGGAGCGGTAGTGTAGTGGTTAGCGTGCTGTCTGTGTGTGTGTGTCTCTGTCTGTGTGTGTCTGCGTGTGTCTGTGTGTGTGTCTGTGCGTGTGTGGTGTGTGAGGAGCGGTGGGTGTAGTGCTTAACGCTACGCTGCGCTACCAACCCGGCGAACCCAGTTCCATTCCCGCTCACGACCACCACCAGTGACGATTATTTGAACCTCCCCTAGGTCGACTCTGCCTCAAACGAGTAACTGCTGTAGCGTATTAACATCGCCACTGGGGAGACAAAGGCGGCCGGCCGTGGTGGATACAAGTCCCGGGCGAAGCCGGGTAGTACAGCTAGTCTATATATAAAAGGGAAATGTGTGGATACGTGTCTGTTCGAAATGTTTAGCATACTTCCCAACATGCAACACACTTGAAATTTGGCATGTGGGTAGGTTCCATACTGTACACAATGTAAAAACTATAAAAAATAGACTTGTATTTTGGGAGGGGGGGGGGAGAAATGACCATGGAGTGTGTGGCGTCAACCCGCAACACACCTGAGTTAAGCGCTCTGCAACGCTTACCCCTACCATATGGCTCTTCGTGCGCCGTACTTCTAGAGCTGTTAACAGCGTGCCGGGAGATTTTAGGTGGCGCTTCGCTCCTGGCCGATGAAGCCATTGGCTTCTCGGAGTTTCAATACATATCCGTGTGAAGAACAGGTACAACTGCTATCTTAAATATTAAGCAGAAATTACATGTTTGTTTGTGTGAAGCAGCAAAAACTCTCCAACGCCAAGCTCTGGCGTCATGAAATTTTCACAGCTTATGCTGTCTGGAATTGATAAGTGAACACGACTATTTTCAGCTCGCCACGTCATTCCCTTTCCGAGTTGCCAAAATCGACATTACGTAGAAGTGGGTTAAGGTTAAATTTCCTTCAGTGAAAAACATCCGATTTAGTTAAATTGATTTCTTTCAGCTTTTTTCTTTCTTACAAGAATCAAATTTTCAGGGTTTTTCAGTGACATGGTTCACAGGTGGTGGCGTGTCCAGACCCATGCCTGGCTACCTTCATCCGCTCAGTATGAATGCTTCCTCACTCCACCAAGTAATTCATTGAGGATCAACCAACACAGCCGAGGCTGCATGTCTCTCTCTCTGTGGTGAGATGTTAACTACCTGTCCTGGCATACAGGAAGTCGTGGGTTCGATCCCAACCCTGACGCCTGCTGTATATTTGGAGCTTACGTGTCTCTCTCTATCTTTCCCCGTGGTCGTGTGGATTTCCCTCCGGATCTCCCGGTTGTCCCCTCTCCACATGCAGAGAGTGAACACCGCCACGCGTCCAGAGTGAACACCACCACGCGTCTAGAGTGAACACCACCACGCGTCTAGAGTGAACACCGCCACGCGTCCAGAGTGAACACCACCACGCGTCTAGAGTGAACACCACCACGCGTCCAGAGTGAACACCACCACGCGTCTAGAGTGAACACCGCCACGCGTCTATAGTGAACACCACCACGCGTCTATAGTGAACACCACCACGCGTCTATAGTGAACACCACCACGCGTCTAGAGTGATTACCACCACGCATCTAGAGTGAACACCACCACGCATCTAGAGTGAACACCACCACGCATCTAGAGTGAACACCGCCACGCGTCTAGAGTGAACACCGCCACGCGTCTAGAATGAACACCACCACGCGTCTAGAATGAACACCACCACGCGTCTAGAGTGAACACCGCCACGCGTCTAGAGTGAACACCACCACGCGTCTAGAGTGAACACCACCACGCGTCTAGAGTGAACACCACCACGCGTCTAGAGTGAACACCACCACGCGTCTAGAGTGAACACCACCACGCGTCTAGAGTGATCACCACCACGCGTCTATAGTGAACACCACCACGCGTCTAGAGTAAACACCGCCACGCGTCTAGAGTGAACACCGCCACGCGTCCAGAGTGAACACCGCCACGCGTCCAGAGTGAACACCGCCACGTGTTGACGAGCCTCACCTTGTTGCTGTTGTGGGCAGGTCACTTCTGAAAACAAGAGCGGTATAGCAGCTCAAGCGGGCTTGGCCTGGTAAAAAAAGAAAAGAAAAACTGAGAATATATAAAGTAAAACAAAGTGACAAAGTTGCGAGCCAGGTGAAGAGAAATTAAACTTTAGCGAGAGATTTGAAGCAAACGCGATCAGGCGAGGGCAGGAGGCAAGGCCCCACGTTGATAAGTTCCAACCTGGACATCGCTTCCATGCTCGCTGCTACTCAATTAACATCCCTACGAGAGAGAGAGTGAGGCTCTACCTCAATAAACAACAACAACCACCACAACAACCACCACCACCGCGATGAGGATTTCTCACCTCGGATTTCAGTTCACGGGCGGAGCGGCAACTTCCTGGTCCCTCGCGACGTCACGCGGCAGCAGGTGACATGACGTCACTTGCGGGGTACGATGACACTCCCCTCCCACAATGAGCGGCTCTCAACTCGCGACGGCTTTCACGAATAAATTATGTTAATGAGCCGCCACGTGCCGGGCGTGGCTTTGCCCAAATAAGGATTGGCACTGGGACAGATAACGGCAGCGGCCGAGCAGAGATGACGTCACGCTCAAGAGTGCGGTGGTCGGGGGTGGGTGACATGACGTCACTAGCGAGGAACACCTCCCCCTGGCGTTTGACGCCGATGAGGTCACGCTGAGCGGTGACGTCAGAGAGCGGGGTCAGAGTTCAAGTTTGTTGACAGAAAGGGAGCGAGTTTCGACTTAGCCTAAAACGAGTACCCGGTGCGGTGTGTCAACATCGCCACTAGGGAGACAAAGGCGGCCGGACGTGGTGCTGGCCACCCACCCCCTCGTGTGCCGTGACGACCTCCATCGGTGCTGCTCGCTGTGAGCAGCACTTTGTAGATGTCGTTGCTTGGCTCTCCAGCACACCGCTGGCGACATTTCACGATGACATTTTCACGTCCATGAAAAGAAAATCGCCATACTAACCTCGGCCGTTTTTTGGCAAAATTGGCCCAATTTTCTTAGCTTTATTTTTCAACGAAAAGTGCATTCCTTGGTTGTGTTTAGCCCGAGTAATATTACGTTAAAAAGTGGGGAATTTCATGCATGAAATTTTGAAGTAAAAAAATCAAATCGGCATACTTAGCCTACTAGCAGTCGCCGCCCGCTTCGCGGGCGGTGTGTATATACTTGGTTGGTGGGGAGTTGAAAGTGGCTGGACACAATAGACATGTTTTGGTGATTGTTTTATGTTTATTTTTGTGAGGTTATATGTATTTTAATGAGACGCTCAATCGACAATATTAAATAATGCAACTTATTCAAATATAGAATGCAACTTATTCAAATATCTGCCGATCCACGATATTCTTCGTGTACACTCCGTCTTCCTCCTCGTCGTGAGGTCACTCAATAAGCGCCTTGATGTTGGATCTTGCCGTGACTCGCGATAGTGCCACGTACAGTTGGCCGTGCGAGAAGCATGGCGTTGGTAGATATAATCCCAGGTTGTGAACAGTTTGCCCTTGCGCCTTGTTGATGGTCATCGCGAAGGCTGGGACAATGGGGAACTGTTTGCGCCGAAGTCGAAATGGGAAGTCTTTCGTGTCCAATTCGCGGCAGATATGGTTGTTCTCAAGAAGTGAGTCCAAGACTAAGTGTGGGTACTCGGAAAGCTGCGGGAGGTCGTCAAAGTCCTACAGAGCCATCCCACCTGCCGTGAGGAACTCGTGGAGGCTGTGAAGGGTCTTGAACTTTACCATTTCTTTTATTTTCTTTGATGCTGCTAATCCAGCATAATGCACGGGTATAAGTAGTACTAATCACATACCTGCATTTCCCATATCCCCTCCCTTTGATGCTGCTAATCCTGCATAATGCACGGGCATAAGTAGTACTAATCACATACCTGCATATCCCATATCCCCTCCCTTTGATGCTGCTAATCCTGCATAATGCACGGGCATAAGTAGTAGTAATCACATACCTGCATTTCCCATACATATGCAAAATTCCTCTTGATATGCATTATTATTTTGTCAAGGCGCCCTTTCCCCCCCTTCCAACCCAGCTCATATATATGCTCCAAGCTCGTGTGCTGTTTCATTCAGACGCTGTCGCATCGACAGACCTGGTTTTCACCCGAGGATGGCTGCTTGCGTTGTGGCCGAAACGTCGTGAGAATTATTTTATTATGTTGTATTTTTATTATTTTATTACTTCCCTTCTACGTGACTTTACCGAAAGAACCAAGAAGATTTACCATTTCTTCTTTGTTGGTCAGCTGGCGGTACTGGTACTCGTAATCGCGAGCCAATTCGTCGTAGAATTTATCCCAGAGAGCCTTCGTATCTGCTGGCATGGAATACAGCAGAATCGTAGCGAAGAGTTGATGAAGCTGGTACGGCATCTGAAAGAGCGAGGCTTCTTCCAGACACACAACCCATTCGCGATCGCTCTCTAGGTAGCCTGCTCGCATGGCTGCTTCCAGCGGTTTGTTTTGTTTTATTTTATTCGTAACGCACCATCCATATGCGCTCCACCATCCACCATGCCCTTGCATGGCAAAGACACAGCTCCGGTGTGCGTCAGCGTGTGCGCCATCCACAGTGACATTGGTCAGAAATTGCACCGTTCCGATCGCACACAAGTTAGTCCCTGCATCCTCCGTCTGTATGTACACACACAGACAAATCCGTTATGGGGCCACCTATTTTTTTCTTATAAAAAATTATTTTGTTGGTGTTTTTACGTTTACGTATTCCCATTGTGGGTGTTTTACGCATGCATCAGATTTTTGGGTTCCTCACATATGGTATCAGAGGTGTGGGTCACTCTCAATCGAACAATAACGGGGATCGTTTGAGTTATGACAGCTTGCAGATAGAAACATTGCATGATCGTATACTAATAATGACAGAATTTGTACCCCAGTGGAGGGCATCCCCCACCCGGCGCTTCTTACCGGTACTGTGAGACTTAGAAATCCAGACCTCTCCTCCTCCTGAACCGTTCACAATACCCTGTGGTAGTATCATAATCATCTCAATAAAGTGATCACTTTCCAATGCCCATTTTCATCCCGGGAGTTACCCGGGTGGTGTCACACTGTACTCATTGTTTTAGCATGTCGCAAATTCCGATATGGCTTGTGCAACGGCCAGAGAGTGACAGCGGCGGGGGCCGGGCTGCAACCGTTTTTGACAGTTTATTAAATTTCAAAGTGCATGGGATTGGCACTCCAAAACATGATAAATGTACAGTAACACCAACTGCATCCGTGCCAAACATGATACGCGGACACATGCTGCATATTATGCAACACATGCCCTGACCAGCAGCAGCATGCACAACATCTGAATTATACAACCGAAGTAGACAGCAAGCCGTCCATGAAGACGTGATCAACGTCAATACATAATAATGGTTATAAGCCGGATAAACCGAAAAGTACCAATTGTACCCATCAAACAGTCAGCTGGGTTGCCCCATGGGGGTATTGACCCATGGGCGAAACTGTAGGGGTGCGCTACGCAACTGGCCGTGGTCCCGGCAGGTGAAGCTGCCAGCTCAGTCCGCTAAGACTCACTGTATAGCGACCCCTGCCTACTCGTAAGGTAAAGTTGTTTGGAGACTCCACTAATCGCAGCACGCAGCACCCATTTTTTACATAAATAATCGTAATATTAGTGTAACTACCATTCGCACACTTGCATACACACCACACTCACACAGCGCAGGGTCTGCGCCCACAGTGCACTGCAGCACTGCGGCGCAGACCTTGCCAAACCTATGCTATCGCTCTCTTCGGGGCGTGTTAATTATTTATTTATATCGAATCAAAGTGAGCTGTGGCTTTTTGCCGGCTGTTTTATTTTCATCGAATCAGAGCGAGCTGTTTGGGCGGGTCCGTAAATAAATTAACGTCCAGATACGCACGCAGACGACCAAACCAGCGTAGTTGTTTAAGATGCCGTTCTTGGCCAAAATTGGCCAAACTTTCACAGCTTTATTTGTCGACAAGTTAATTGCTCCATTGTATTTAGACTTAGTATGCTATGTATTAGATTAAAAGTGGAAAATTTCACGATGAAATGTTCACGTCCCAAACAGGAAATCGGCATTATTACTCATGCCAGTTTTAACCAAAATAATCAAAATTTTCAAAGCTTTATTTTTAAACAAAAAGTTCATTCATCAATTGTATTTACCCTTAGTATGCCATGTATTAGATTAAAAGTGGTACATTTTATGATGAAATGTTCACGTCCCAATATAGAAAATCGGTAAACTAACCCATGCCGTTTTTGGCCAATAATGGCCAAATTTTTACAGCTTCATTTTTCAACCAAAGTGCAATCCTCCGGTGTGCTTAGCCTCAGGAACCTATATATTACGTAAAAAAGTGGGAAATTTCACCATGAAATAAAAAAGGGTCTGACATGGTTTTCTTTGCCTTACAAAACAGACGGGCAAAGTGTGCATGACCCAAAACTTTTTTTCCAAGCAAGATACAACAGCAACAATGAGGCCATTTGCTTAATTCTTGGCTTCCATGACCTCCAAAATGGTCAACGCATCTACGTCACCAAAGGAAATGCCCAACAACAGGCCCTGGCTCTACAAGATACCACCCTTATGGCGTTCTTGGTTTTGTGTCCAAGTGACCCATTTTCTGCCAACCTGCTCTACCATTAAGTTCCCTCCTACTCTACATGGACTACTAAAAAAATGGAAGCGACTTGCTGCTGACGGTGAATCTGATGCCTTAGGACGAGTCAATACATTTCATCCCAACAATCAGCAGGGCTACTTTCTCCAAATGCTTCTCCATGTTGCAAAAGGGCGAAAATCTTTCCAAGACCTATACACAGTGGAACGAGTTATCAAATATACAGGGAAGCTCGCAATCTTCGTGCAATTCTTGCGCATGATCACCTTATTCATAAAGCTATGCCAGAAGCTTCTGTTGGTCAGTCCCCTTTCCAACTGACATTGATCTTCTGCATGAATCTTCAAGTTTGCAGCCCATCTAACCCCATGGGACTCTGGCAAAATACAAAGAGGGCATGAGTGAGGACATCCTCCATGGAGCTCAATAACAAAATACAAACCTGGACGTTAACTTTTCTGATGTCATCTTCAAACAGGCCCTCATCCTCCTTCACAACAAACTGCACTCCATTGCTGGAAAATACTTCACGTCTATGGGACTACCAACACCCTACAGGGACAACCTGCATGCCCTTGCTCGAGATCCTACGTGAAATATGCTATTATACTTTACAGATTCTTAAATTTACATAGGAAAATTAACCAAAGCTGATGAATGCACAAATAGAAGCCTACACGAAAATCTTGGAAGACATTGAGACTACAAATCGAGTCATTTTTATCCTTGGTGCACCTGCCAGTACTGGGAAGACCTTTGTTTTCAAACTGCTCCTTGCAAAGGCTCGCCAGAGAGAGAAAATTTCTCTAGCTGTGGCATCATCGGGGATTGCTGTGTAAGTCGATGTGTGTGTGTGTGAGTCAATGTGTGTTTGCGTTTAGGTCCATGTGTAAGTCGGTGTGTCTGTGTCTTTTTTTCCCGGTGTTGTATATGCCGGGTCTTGAATAAAAAAAAAAGAAAATGGATACGTAATTACCCGAATTTATGCTAATTCATGTAATTTTGTGCATCAATTATGCTAACTAGGGAGGTGTGATCATATTATGGTATTTAAATATGTGATTATGCTAATATATGTAGTTATGATAATTTGACTTACCTTCGTTGTCTAATGTTGTTTTATCAATCGGAATAATACAATTATTCTCGCTTTAACATTTAATCTCAATGATTACGTTGTTAAACTGGGTAACAGAACAATCAAATAATTCCTCAGAGTAACGTGAGCATATACGGCGATAGAAAAAGTCCTTAAAATGAATGTAACAATATTCATACAAACAGTAATGAAGGAACATGTTCTGAAAGCAAGAGTAGTTATCAATTAATTCATTGGCAAGATTATGCAATTAACGAAAACGAATGACTAAAATACATCTAACAATCGTATC